GATGCCTGTTCTTTTCAAAGGGCAGTATTCAACGTTACTACAAAAATAAAAGCTTAATGACTGAAAAGAGGTCTGTTTCATTTTAAGCAAGTACTGTTAGAAAATAGAAACTTACTACAATATTCCTTACACACTAAGTACACACTAATACTGCAAGGCAATAAAAAAAAAAAACCCACCCTTATTTCTAGCTTTCTCACAGTATGCTTTCCCTCTATTTTCCCCCCATTATACACATAGATACTTTACCAAAGTCTGAACAAAAGAAATGCAGGAAAAACCGCTACTACCTCTGTTCTCATAGATAGTCTGATGTAATTACTGTGCCACTCTAAAAAAACTTTCCTCATAGCACAGGAATCTTAGAAGTTCTGGTTTGTGCAGAACAAAATGCTCGTCAGGAACATGTGGAGGGATGAGAGAAATAAGCCTAAGGAGAGAAAATACTCAGTGAAATACTTCCTTGTCCTCTTCTAGAATAGCACAGAGGTAGAGCAATAAAGCTTTATTGGATGTTTTATTATGTAGATGGCTGGTTTTAAAAGGAAAACGGACATTTCATGGCAGTGGGGTGGGTTTTTTTTGTTATTACAGTCACACATCTACAGTGTTTTAAACTGCAAAAGGAATCATTCATTCTCATTCCGTTCTTTTCTGTCTCAACCAGCTGAGTAGCTTGTGCCAGATGAACAATAAACTCTTCCCATCTCACTGTGTATACACCTTGGTGATATCAATGCATTTTCCTTCAGGAGGATCATAACCAGGAAGTGGTGGGGTGTAACTAGGTCCATCTCTCTCAAAGGGAAAAAGTCCATCATCTCGTCTTATTGCTGCTTGATATAACTCCTCTGATTCAAGGCGCAGTTCCTTTAACGCCTCTTGTTGAGCCGCTACAAGAGTCTGAATCGCTTTCTTCTCCGCCTCGTCTTGTTTCTGCTTATACAGAGACCACTTTTTCATAAGTAGAACTCTTCTTTCAGTCTCCTCAAAAGACAGAGGAGGGAGACTTCGCACTCTGATAAAGAGGAAAATAACCTTGTAATAGAGAAATTTCTTGCACCCCGAAGAGCAAGAAAAACCAGAAAAACCATCCCAAATGCAAGCGCATGGTGAAAGACAGTCTTACCTGCTGCTATCCGAGTATTTAGGTGGTGTTATAAAATCCTCAATCGGAATCATTTCTGGGGCAGCTTTTTCCAATTTTCTTATCTTCTTCTTCATACGATCCTTCTGTGCTTGCTCTCTCTTTATATCTACTTTCTTCTTCTTCTTGGGTTGTACTCTAGCAAGGGAAATAATTATGTGAATGAAAGAAGGCATGCTGTCACTGAATTCAGTACCAGCAAGTTGCACTACTACTTTACTTTTCTAAGGGCCATGATTCCCTCCCATCACCTAATCTGGTTCCTGATTGAAATTCTAGCTGTTAGCTTTATTAAAATAAGGTAATTTCCAGGAAAAGGTAGTAAGCTTTATGAGATTTTCTGCTGACAGAAGTGTACCTGCCACAGAAGACCAGCCTCCAGTTCTGTGCTAAAAGGTCAGCATTATTTTAGAAAGTTACACAAAAATTGAACTGGAACTTGTTTCCAACTAGTTCTGAGTCCAACAGAGCAGGTAACTGGTTTACTTGCAAACAGTCTCATCATCTAACATTAAAAAACAGTGAGAGTGGGTGATTTTATGTTCCGCACTTGGAGACGACTTCAGGGTGCCGACATTACTCCTCTGTTGTACTTGTCCACACAAACCTAGTTATGTGCAAGAGGACATAGGCCACACTCCACAGACACAAACTAATCCTC